CAGCCCTCAAAGCATTGTTTAAATATTCTTAAACCATTCCTATACATTGCAGGATTAGCAGAAGTTCTGATCCAAGATGCACACAAACCACAAATCCATACAACCTCCTGAACAACTGTGTCATGTTCCAAGATATATTCATGTGGTTAATGGGCTTTCCTCAAACACATCAAGGGATTTAACCACCTCTGAGCCGTTATTGATGACTTTGCTTGAGTAGAGACTCATCGGGCCATGGAGTGTCATACTCCAAGTTCATATTTAAAATCCAATTAGATTAATGAGTTGATTAAACATTTCTGTAAGGGTTGATACGTGTCTGCACTTCTTAACCTGACTTTGTTGTGTCAGGAAATTGTCAAACAAGGATGACATGTCAATTTAATTAAAATATGTATGAATTTGCTTGCAAATGATAAAGATATAACAACATTTTAGCACAGCATGTCATTATTCATAGTCAGAATTTGACAGTAAACTGCTGCATAAAATTAGTGTACCTACAATTTTCTTTAGCCGGTCAGGCACGCGGACTCTTCTAGTCTTGTCTTTTACAAATAAAGAACAAATATAATTTGAGCTCTAAGCAATGCATGAACTAGAATGAATATAGGCAAATATATGTAAATTCAGCTGTCCAATTTTTTAAGTGCCTGAAAATTAAAAAAAAAGGTTGAATAAACTTCTCCCTGCTCAAGTTAACAAGTAACAAATGCCCAGAGATAAACAACATATAGATGCCTTTAGTAATCATCAACCTTGTATCATATGCACACAATCATGTTAAAATATACAAATAAAAAAACCTTTGATCTTAATGTGTCTGGTTTCTGTTGAATGAAGGAGCTATTTCTTGCCATAAGTAAAGTGTGGTTCTGAGTACGATGATTTTTTGCTTTTCAAAAAAATATGTGCACCTGCATGGAGCTTTCAGAAAATTATTTACTTAAATTTTTAAGAAAATTCCACACCAGAAGAAGTCATTCTGTAAACATTAAACATTTAAAGTTAAGTGTTTCAAGGGTGGGCCTTAGTCATCAGTTGGCAGACCTTGGAAGTTTTGTTTAAGGATTCATGCCTGTACTTTGTTAAAGCCAGTTTTCAAATACTCAAATTGACATAATGATATAGAAGTCTCAATACAGTATAGATCTGTGTATATCTAGGTTTCTGTCTCACTGGTAAATATACATTTCTAGATACTAGCCAGCCTCTTTATTCTTGCTGTGATATAAAAAAAATATATCTAGTGTCCAAAATTCCTTTAGTTTGGGGTATTTTGCTAAAGAGTAAAGCCAAAAACAGTATTTGAATTGAGTACCCAGGTATATTAGAAAATAAATGTCAGTTATTATTATTACTATGTTTAAACATTGTGTTAAACTTGAAGATTGTGTATAGGCAGTATACTGTAAGTATGATATAGTCCTAGTATTGATACCTTGAATGAATATACTGTAGATTAGACAGATCTTTAACTTATCACATTTCTTTGAGTAACAGCAGCAATGGAAATCCAAGGAGTAATTTGATACATTCAGTTTTCAGTAAAAAATTTAAGATTTCATTTCAAACGGAGAGTTGCAATAATCTAAACAGTTGGTAAACTGGTTAACCTGACAAATTGGGGCGAGTACTACAGTACATTGTTAATTGACATTGGGTTCATTAACTTTAATTGAATTAATGCTGTACACTGAGGCATAAGCAGTACTTGTGATCAAGCAAATTAGAAGTATGCAAAAATAAGAGATCATGACAAAATTATAGTGGAGAAGGGAAAACAAAGACTAAGACACTATACAGCAGTGGATGATAGTAGTTTTCAATTGAGAAGCAGTTGGAACTAAAGGCTATTTGGCTAATGTCTTAACAGTATACATCCCCACAATATGAGAATATCTGAGTTCACTAAAAATATTTGAATGCTTTACATACTGTTTGACATTCTGTAATGTGTCAATAACATTTATTTCTGCTTAATATTCAGCAAATAAAGGAAATATTCAATAGACTTAGTAGATGTTTAAATATTTGCAGGACGATAATGTTTAGGTTAATCACGCAAATGCATTAAATCCATTCATTAGCAGAAAGCCACTTATTTCCTGGGAGGGGTTGTAGCAAATATTGAAGGGCACACACTCGTAGGCACAAAATGTAGAGACACCACTTAATTTACTCAGCATGGCTTTCGAAGTTGAGAGGAAAGCGGAGCAACTGTAGAAATCACATGGGAACATGAATGCAGGAGCCAAGAGCTGTGGGGCAGCAACTATCCATCCTGCCACTGTTTTGCCACTAATGTATAATGCATTCTTAAATTCAGCATGGATTTTCACCACAAATTATACCAAATTCAGTTAAATTTGTTTGAGTATGATATTCTGAAATGCGGTAATATGACTCTTGTGAGATGCAAGATTACAGGTTTGCAACTGACATTCCTCGTTTACTCCCATGTACAGTATGAAATGACAAATGTGGTACAAAATGAATGCTTTGGAGCTTGTAATGCACAGGTAACATTTGCAGACTTGGTTGTTTTTTAATCACACTGTAGCAATGTCATAGATTAGAAAAAAGGAGAAGTTCTGGCAACAGAATAGCAGGTGTATCACAACATAAAGCTCTATTCATCCACCACTGCAGCACTATTAACAGAAAAGAACCACTACAATGCTGGCATCATGACCCAGCATCACCAGTCAAAAATGATTTAAACATGTAGTCTTTACTTTAAATAATAAATTGTACCGCTGTTATGTTACAAACGTGCAGTAAGTAACACGTTAATAATTCCAATACGAAAACCAAAAACACCATACAGATACAGAACACAATTACTATTCCTACACTTATGTAAACAAACATATTCAGATGCCATATTACAAACTGGACAAATTCTAAATCCTCTGGTATTGACAAATACTCTGTACATGAAAATGATGGATCTGGTTGATCATATCACTCCACTGTAAGTCTATCACAGTATGTCTATCCATCTGGCAGCAGTATAAATTTTGTTATGAGGCCATAAATGCCAGCTTTAGTAGTCAGATTTTTGTTGTTAATGGTAATCTCACTACTCACTAGTGTTATGCTCACAAAATCTTCAGTCCTGTTTTCCAACTATACATGGTAACAATGCCAACATTCACTGGTAATTCCTTAAAGCTTCCACATGATAATGCTGCTCCCACAGAACAAGAGTTACACTGTAGCTTCAATATCACACAAAGGACTGCTGTATTGTCAGATCTTAACCCAATCGAGCGCCTGTGGTTGGATCAACTCATACTGCACTTCAATATCAACCACTACCAAATCATTTTTCTGATCTGTCACTCCCTTTCTGGCCTAAATGAAGGGACAGAGATCCATGTAAAATATGTTTGCAAGTCTAAGCTATGGTGTTTGCATGGTTGTATACAGTATGAGCACACATCATGCACACATTGGGTACTAATGACTGATGTACAGTAATAGCACTTGACTTGAAAGCCCCATGAAACACATACCACATGTGACTTTTGAACTTTGTTGGAAAGATTTTTACAAATGATAAAATTATGTCACAGCCAAAATGAAAGAAGTAACCATCAACTCAATAGATCTTTTATAAGAAACTACTTATAGTAAGAGTATCCAACCCTGGTCCTGGGGGGGCAGTGTATTTGCAGGTTTTCTAAGTCTCTTAAGCAGCATTTGTAGAGCTGGAAGACGCTGTGAAGCTGGTACTATTAAGCTAATAATGAGCTGATTGAGGACTTTATGAGCCCCAAGTGGAATGAAAACCTGTAGACACACTGACACTGCAGGACCACGATGGAGGATTCCTGATTTATAGGGAACATTAATATACTAAGGTACAAAACAAGTTTGTTTTCAGTTATATGCTGCTTAAAGTATAATAAAACAGTAAAATGGATATGAAAACATATACATACTGTATTGTAATTTGTAATAGAAAAGACATCTTCATTTTTTACATTAATGCAGGAATAAGTCCTTGCAAGATTTTTTTGCAAGACTATAGTTCTTTGGCTTGAATTTATTAGTCTGGAAATAAAACGCTTAGAACTACAGCAAACAGCCCATTGCAGACACATACTCATGTGAATTTAGTTTCCAATCTCCTGTCTCTGTGAACTCCCCAACCCCATGGGTAATGACTTGCTCTGAGAGACAACTGTTTTTTTTAGACAGGCCACAAAACATCCCTAGAGATACTATGTTTAAGAGTTTAAATTCTCATTTTATACAACAACATAAGAAAAACGAAATATCACACCACAGAAATATGAAAGTACAAAATCAATCTGTCCAAAAGTGTAGCAACTCCCCATTAAATGGAATTCTATGTTAAATCAATACTTATTTGCTTCATTTTAAGCAGATCAGATGGCTACAAACCAATGAAACATTTTTTAAGTTGAACACAAAAAAAAAGTATTAGACTGAAACAAATTATATGAATTCATAATGTATTTTTCAATTACTATTGCAGTTGTTATGTACAGTATGACTAATACTGCTGAAGTCTTGGTCAGGCATCTAGAGTACGTGCTTCATGTGAAAAATGTGCTATAAAGATATTTAATTTTGGGGTACTAAAACATAGGGAGATCTTATCGCTCTCGTACATATTAATGTTCAGCCATATTATTTTTTATTAAACTACTTTTTTATATGATACCATTTTTGAACTACAGCCTTGCATACAGTAAATAAACAAGTTATACCATTTTAATTATCAGAACTAGGAAACCTAAAAAATACCAAAGCTTTTATTGATACTAAGCACTTAGAAATGTTTACAAACCCTATTTCTTTAACAAATGGATAAACTTTAGGATCTTTTGCTCAGTAGGTAAAATGTCAGCACACAGCATGCCTACAGTTTTTGGGATCCTCAAAATTAAATGTTTGAACTTACCAAAGTATTGTGGATGTGTATTCTCAATTATATTTAAGGTGCTTTTACCAGATTTACTCACCATGCCGTTACATGTAGAAAGTGCTACTGAAGAGTTGGTATTTGATCTTAATGACCCCTGATAAAAGCAAAGGTCCCCTTGCTGATATGTCTCCAGAACTGTAGTGCCATTTTTCCCCAGGGTTTGTATTATAAAACCAGGTGCTAACAGGCCACCTGAAGACTGGAGTTCCAAATGAAAGTCTTGCCCGAAGCCATGGAGTCTGAAGTGAACAGTTTCTTCCACCCAGCTCCCAGCCGATCGCTTCCTTCTGTGGTGGTGGGCAACTTCATGTGAAATATACTTCCCATTGTGATCTACTTCATATGGAGATACAACTTCATATTCTGTGGATAGTGAGGAACATTCAATTAGATTACATATATAATTTGTGTTAAACAGTGTTAAAAACACAACTGGGCATAGCATGTAGGTCAGTGACAAACAACTGATTTACACACCTTTAGCATACACTAATTGTGACATGACACAATTTCTTATAAATGAGGACAAATGCCAGTCTCAGTTTGCTAAGATTCTGTACAACTCATTTTTTAAAGAAGGAGTATCTAATTCAGAATCCAATTCTATCACATATATTTAAGATGTATGTCTTAAGTTCCAAATCTAATTTCATTTATAGTTTTCACATTTAAAATGTTCATTTAAAGCACTTTGTTTCCCTTTATACAGTACACCAACTGATTTGTAATAGACTGGAACTGCCAATTGTGATCCAAACCAGCTTTTAAAACCCCAACATCTTCACAGGAGTGACAAAGATAAAATATCACCTTTCACAACAGTGCATTCTCAAATCTTTTGATTCTTTTCAAAGAGGAAGCAGGGAATACAAGAAGCAGAGTTAGCAACAGAGGTTGATGGGTGGAAGAAGATGAGAAGCCCTCAAGTGACTTCACTCACCCAACCACAACAGCACTGTATCTAATGGAGGTGAACATCCTGACCACAGTTGTCACATGGTATAAAGGTTCGAAAGGTTTATCTTCACAAAACCTAATTATGATTACAAAATACTCATACGTGACATACAGGGGTAGTAATGATAGGTACAGTATATACAGTTGCAAGAAAAAGTTTGTGAACCCTTTGGAATTACCTGTATTTCTGCATTCATTACTCACAAAAATGTGGTCTGATCTTCAACTAAGTCACAATAATAGACAAACACAATCTGCTTAAACTAATAACAGATAAACAATTGTACTTCTTCTTGTCAATATTGAACACATCGTTTAAACATTCACAGTCCGGGCTGGAAAAAGTATGTGAAACTCTAGGCTAATGACTTCTCCAAAAGCTAATTGGAGGCAGGTGTTCAAATCAATCAGATGTGATTGGAGGTGTGGATATATATACAGTATGTATACAACTGTATATATATATACACTAAATAATTTCTAAAGGAAACTCAATCAACTAAACAGCCCTAAAACCTGACCTTAAGAGATCTCAAATACTAAATACTATGGTTTAAGTTGCTATATTTCATGGGAGACACTAAATATACTGTCTGTATGGGAGACTTAAAGATTATGTAGCACTGCACAGAAAAGTAAAGGTGTTAACCTCCGTCCCATATTCAAGTATCAAAAGGTGGAAAAGAAACTCATAATCCAGGTTAAAGTCTGCTTAATGCCTTACACTCTTATCTTTCACATGTTTGTTTAGCTGGCACTTTGTTGTAAAGCACTTTGGGTTCCATATTATCTTCTAAGATAATCTTCTAAGGTTCTAACAGCTTGACCAATATTTTATAAGTAGCACTATTGCAATCTTAATTAAAACCTCTCTGTGACTAATAAAATATTTTCACTAGTCAGCCCTAAATTATACACTTTGTGTTTTTGTACAAACTCCATGCATGTATGGAGCATATACAGTAAGTACCATAACCCCTGATTTAAGTTTTAAAAGCTGAGTGGCAGATCCACACACATTTTGTGCATGTGAGAGAGCATGACTCAGTACTGTCTTGGATTTTTATATAATAACAAAAAATAAATGAGGCAATTGTTAAATAAAAAAAAGACATGAAACATGCTTTGAAAAACTTGAAAACGGGAAAAATCAACTTCATATTGCTCAGCTAAGGAACAAAGTGAAGTCTGCTACTTGGCAATGTCAAAAGACACTGTGTCATGGTCCCTATAGGTATGCACTGCATATTCAAATTATGTCATGTCAGTAACCTTTTATGAATGCTTCTAAAATGAAACAGTCTTCAAAAAGTAACAGAACTTAGGTGGCAGTACCTGCGATATCCCACAATATTGAGAATAAATATTCAAAATATTGGACTAAGGATCGTATCAGATGAATCCTTAATGCCTAGATGTCCCTCCTCTTCAGTAACTAAAGAAGACTACAGTACCTTACTCAAGGCCCAGATGTAACAGGTAATGCTGTAACCAGGTGGATGCTGCACATTGGTGGTGGTGGAGGGGAGTCCCCTTTACCTGTAAAGCGCTTTGAGTGGAGTGTCCAGAAAAAGCGCTATATAAGTGTAAGCAATTATTATTATTAATGACCTTACTCAAGGCCCAGATGTAACAGGTAAAATGTCGTGATGGACATGACATATGGTAGACAAATGTGATAGACATGTGGGGAAATCTTTCACATGTATAGGGGAAGATGGAGTTCCATTTCATCCAGGAAAAAAGCTTAAAAACTGTTAACTATAAACGCTGACCTTCTGTCCAAAAAGTGATTGAAGACAATACCTGAACAAAAATAATCAATGGTTTTATGATCAGGATGCTACTAAATTCATAAGATGGACAAGCAAGTGAAGTCATTCTACTGAAGACATTTGTGAAAAGCTATAGACACTCAGCCCATGCACTGCAAACCAATATTACACACAGCTATTTAGGAATCGGTCTGGATTCTGTCACATTTATACATACAGTACAGTAATTAATGTGGTGAACTGGTTTCATCAAAGGTTCATTTGGTCTTGAGGCAGCACATGTTAAGTGAATAGTCAAAAAATATGTTCATGACTATATTTTTTCAAATTAAAATATGTTCTGTATATAAATGTAAAACACTACCAGCTACTTAAAATAATAAAGACTGTCAAGCAAAAACAGACTCTCATCAACCTCACTTTTGAGTTACATGAACAAAACAAGAAATGTTGTTGTCTATTCACAGTTATGCATCTAATATTAGACAATACAGTCAGCTCTTCATACTATAAGTGTATCAATAAACTAAATTCATTCAATTAGATGAACATGTGTAATTACGGGTATAAGTCTGAACATTAAAATACCTGGCAATAATGTTGAGTAGTTTTCATTTTCTGATTCACACTGAATTTGTACTTTGAAGTTATATGTCCTCTGCATTATAGGAGTATTAAATATCACAATTATCAACCAATAACTATGTATGACCATATGATTGCACACACCATGCCTTCAATTTAACCACAGTAAGCCAGTAAGTAATCAGTAAGAATATTTGGTTAATGTGGGTTAAGCACTTGAAACCAAACCACATCTAGCTTGGAAGAAAAATGGAAAAAAATACAATTGTTTGTTTAAGCACCATAGAAGAATCTTGAGGAATTAATCTCAAACTTCAAACTGGTTAAATAGCTATAAATTCCATAAGCTGCCTTTAGTAACTCTCAACAGGTAACCAGCTAATGGCTTACAAAAACTCATGTGATTCATTATTTCAAGGATTCACCTCATCTGAATGGGGTTTCTACCGAAAAAGAGGTTAGTTCTAAGACTTAAGAGTGATGGCATGTCCTTAAGGAATCATAAAAAGATTAGCATTGATAACACTGTCACATTAGCAAAAGGTTGAACCTTTCAAATGTTTCTTTGACAAAAATAAAAATGCATATGTATTCTTAGCTTGAACAGATATTGTTATTGCAACTAAATATTCCACTTTATATGTTTACAATAAGCACACTCATTCAATCCTAGAAAGCTATGAACAGTGTGATACAAAGGCACCTGGAAACAGGTGGTACTAATTTTGTATTTTCCTGTTTTCAAAGATAAACCATTCAAGAAGATTATGGAATACAACAGCAAAAGTTAAATTTATAATATACTGTATCAAATGGTTCTAAAAGAACGTCATGATCCAAAATTATACATTTTTACTTGTCCAGTAACATTTGTTACCACAATTATAACAAGAAAATGTATATACTGAATGGGAAAACAGCCACCCCACCTACGCATAAATGCCCCTTTGCCATTTTGGTTGCACATACTACAAACAGTAGCTATCCACACACATTGTCTAACAGATTCTTCCATTTTTAGGTTATGTGGGAGCTGGAGCCTATTCCAGAAAGCAACAGGTGCAAAGCAGGGCAGGTACATTGAATGGGATGCCAGTCTATTGCAGGGCAGACACAAACATAGACCCCCACACAATCACACCTACAGTAGGGCCAGTTTTAACCCACCAGCACGTCTTTGGACTGTAGGCAGAAAGAAGATCACTTGAATGAATTCCACGGGAACT